AAAAGAGAAGAAAACAGCGTTCAAAAAATGGCTTGGAAAAAGACAGCCTTCTACTCGCGTGCGATATGTCGAGGCACGCAAAGCGGCCACTAATGCAGTGGCAAAAGCCAAAGCTGATTCCTGGGAGAAGTTCGGTGAGGTGTTGGAGTCGAATTTCCACACGGCAAACAAATATTCTGACAGACCATCCGCCGGCTCAGAAAAGAAAGGCAGTCTCAGAGTCTTGAAGGACAGACATGGACACCCTCTTATCAAGGATGATGCCATTCTTCGGCGATGGAAAGAATACTTTGACAAACTCCTTAACACCGCACAACCGCAGGAAGACTCGCCTGTAGAGCAGAAGGGTACGAATATTACTATCTCTGTAGATGAAATTGCACAGGCTGTGAAAAGTCTGAAAAATGAAAAAGCTGCTGGAATTGATGAAATCCGCCCTGAGATGCTCAAAGCATTAGGTGAACAAGGCATATGCTGGCTTACACGTTTAACTGATACATATGCGGGTCTAACTACGATGACTGCAGGAAAGACATCAGCGGACAGGATAACGGGAGTTATTGCAATCGTATTCAAGGGAGACCACAAGGAATGCTCCAATCATTGGGGAATTACGTTAATGAGCCTCCCAGGTAAAGTCTACGTAAAGGTGCTAAAAAGGAGGGTCCGCGAAATAACTGACCTCAAGATACAAGAACGGCAGTGTGGCTTCCGGCCCGGTCGAAGTACCTCTGACCATATATTTGACCTGCGCTAGACTGTAAAAAAATAGTGGGAATAGGCCCGTCCAGTGTACATGACTTCTGTTAAGGTAGAAAAAACCATTGACCAGATCACACGCAACAGCATGTGGACATGCCATCGTGCTTACGGGATAGATGGCCAGCTGCTAAAGGCCATCCAATCACTGTATTCCGATAGCAGGTGCTGCATCAGAGTTAATGGCGTTAAGTCGAAACCATTCAAAGTTCGCACTGGTCTCCGCCAAACGACCTTGTTTTATTAGCATGCTCTGAAACTGATCTTCAGTGCTCCCTAGAAAGGTTCGCAGCCGAGTGCGACGTCACCGGCATGCGTGTGAATGCATCTGAAAAGAAAAGCCTAGTGCTTTCTCGTTCTCCTGCCCGTTGCTCTCTTCAGATTAACGGAGAG